CCCCAAAACCCCAAAACCCCAAAACCCCAAAACCCCGGAATGCAGAATTTTGAGTATAGGAGAGATATGAATAATGAATTTATTGATCTTAAGTAATAAAATTATTTCTAATACTTTTTTAGAATTAAAATGAGCACAACTGAGGGAACCTCAAGGCCTAACGCTCAACACTAACTCTTACTCAACAGCTAGAAAATCAATATCAGCCCTATGATGGATGATGAAGTAGGATTAGATTAAAAAGCAAAGTCTGAAAACATCAAAAATATTTTTGAGAATAGAGGGTATATCTCAGCTTTTGTAATTCTGGGTCTTTTTTACTTCTTCGACGTTTTTATTGGGATGTTCATGCTATACAGAGAGTATGATCAAGATGGACCATTTAGATATGCTTAGAGAGAAAACGATTATGTTTTAACTGATCGTCCTTACGATATTATCGAGCTTATTCTTCTTGGAATACTCGTAATTGAAATTATAATAAAAGCTATTTTCACTACAAAATCTCAATCCAAGGTAAATTTAAAGTTTTCATAATTATCTGACTGATAGGTTGGAGTCGGGAAAAGAGAGGTAGCATTAGATACGATTCTAACATTATTGGCAGTAGCCTTGTATATTATAGAGATATTCTGTACCACACCTATTATCATAGGTTTCATCAGGTTCAGATGTATGCTTAAGTTTCCATTCATTTACCAATTGCTAATATCTAACTGCACAAAAAAGGTAAAATTGTTAATAAGTTTTTAAATATTATCACTATCCTATTAAGCATTTTAATCTAACTTCTCATGATTATAGAATAACGTCGTGCCTATCAAACTCCCTAAGGAAAATTTCAAAAGCTATAAGGAAAAAGTAGTTTACATTTTGCAATCATTCAATGAAAATCTTGAAAATCCGAGAGAATTAAACTGGTGCCTACATGTCATTAAGAATGATTTCTTGTAAATTTCAAATAGTCTGATAGCTAATCCACCAAATGGTATTACTTCAAGGAGATTTTCAAAAACTCAGAAGTTTTTGACTTATGACTAAGGTTTAGAATCGAACGTAATCAATACTTGGATTTCAAACTTGCTAACAACTAATGGAGGAACCTCTAAAATTCATGATAATGTTAGTTCCAATGATCTTTTAGTTGATCCTAGATAAACTGGAAATCCATTATCAGACTATTCTTAGAAGGATATTCTTGAATTTGAAGATCATATTAATAGCAATCATTTCAATGCTTTTGACTTGCACAAAGTCTCAAAAAATAACTCACTGTATTTCATGCTACAATATACTTGCTAAAAATACGACTATACAAATAACATTAGATTTGATCCAATTAAATACCAAACCTTCAGTTTGAAACTTTAGGCTGCCTATAGACCTAATAACCCATATCACACAGCTATTCATGCAGCTGATGTCGTTTAAAACGTTTATTATTATCTTATTGGCATTGGAGGAAACGCTCATGAAATATGTAAATTTACAGTTCTCGAAATTGCAAGTCTATTGATTTCAGCAGCTGCTCATGACATTGATCATCCAGGGAACAATAACGTATTTGAGCAGAAGACTAGATCTAAGCTTGCTACTCTGTACAATGACTAGGCCATTTTAGAAAATCATCATGCAGCAAGCTTCTTTTTCCTAATAGAAGGAGATGATTCTTGTAACATATTTGAAAATCTTAGCAAAGCAGAAATGACCACTGTTCGAAAATATATTGTTGATAATATTCTTTACACAGACATGACAAAGCATTTCATATTTACCGGAGAAATAAAAGGTCTACCAAACAAAGAAGATTTCAATCCTTCTGATGCAAAGTATAAGCCAGACATAATGAAGGCTTTAGTTCATGCTGCCGATGTAGGAAATCCAGCAAGACCTTTCGAAATTTGTAAAATTTGGGCATTCAAAATTATCTCTGAATTTTTCGCTTAAGGTGACAAAGAAAGAGAATTAGGCCTAGAAATATCTATGCTATGTGATAGATGGACTGTAAATGTTGGTTAAAGTCAGACAGGCTTCATTGACTTCGTTATTGTTCCTTACTTTGACGCATTAGCAAAAATTTTACCTCAGATGGATTATGCAACAATTCAATTAAGGCAGAACAAAGAGTAATGGGTAAAAACAGTGGATGAATATGAGAAGCAGAAAAAAGCAAATGGTAATGAATCATTATGAGACTCTTTTTGAAATATATAGTATTTGTTAACTTTAATATTAATAAGAATTAAAACTTGATATATATGCTTAGTAGTAGTATTTTAAGTTATTTATTATGCGTAAGGTTCTCATTTTAAATTTATATGGCTGATTATATTGATACAATGAGGAATATCTTTAGCAAAAATTATGTTCATTGAGAAACTTAAATCTCCTAGTTGCTAGCTATTTTAGCAATAGGATTTACATTTTCCTCATCGAAGTATTTTTGATTATCCTCAAGATCAAGTTTGAATTAAACATTGTCACTGTTAAACCCTGATTTCTCTGAGTCTGAAAATTAAGTATTTGCACTGCTCATTCCATCATTTTGACCATCAGTTTAGAATAAGTTCAACTTATTTTCGTTGCTATTTAGAGTAAAATGGATAAATTTATTTTACCTGGATAGAATTTTGAATGATGAGAAACTTTCTAATGAGTGAGATGACAACTATTATTAATTTTGAACCTTCTCTCTGATTTTAATTGCTTCCAAGGGATAATCTGTGCAAATAAAATCAACTTCAAGATATATCGCATATTCATAGAATTTATCATCTTCAACAAATGCCTCTTTATTCACCCACACTCCAACCAATTTGCCTTTATTATGGCAGTTTCTAATAACTTCTTTGTTTAATTTAGTTGAGGATATGTTGATTCCATGACCATATTTAGTGTAAAGTGCTGGATCAGGAAGTTCATAGTGCTCATAAAAGTTGTATAATTGAAAATATCTGACCTCAACTTAGTTCAATTGATTCAAAGCCTCGAGCTCTGATAATATATCACCGTCAAATGAGGACACCGTGTAGTGAGTAAATGCGTCATAATTTTTTATTAGTTCGTATACTTAAGAGATGCACTTCTTAAAATCATACTTTGCTTTCACTTCATCCTCATGAGGTGCTTTTACTTCGATATTAACAAGCATTTACTTATTTATTAGGTCAAACACCTGGGCTAATGTAGGTACTCTATATCCATCACCGACGTCATAACCTTGCATCTCTTCATAACTTTTTTCAAAAATGTACTCGATTTGAGGTAAATCAAAGTGATGATTTAATTCTCCGTTATCTCCACCATGAATTATTATAAGATGATTGTCTCTGGTCATCCAAACCTGTGATATATTTTAGGATAATCTATGAAATTCCTTACATCTAGCTCAATTGCATCAATCCCATGCTAAACAGCTTATTGAAAACTTGCCATTGTATTTTCTGGCTTGAAACCTCCTCTGTGGCCCTAAATTTATACTTTATGCTACTTTGATGGAAGTAGCGTTTGACCACAACTATTGAACGCAGGTCTATTTTCAAATCCCTCTAAACCAACGGGACTTTAAGTTTGCTAATCGATTTATTTAAAATTCATCATTATATTAGCGTAATAAGATTAGATTTTAATTTCTCTGAAATGCTATAAAAAATAGTATTTCTACTAAGCGGGGTTTTGGGGTTTTGGGGTTTTGGGG